GATTATAATACAACTTTTATGTAGTAATAAGCATTTTTAGAAAACTACTTAGAAAAAAAATCGGGTATAGCTTCTTTAACAACCATTAGTTTCCATCCATCCGTCCATCCATTTTCCCTTTAATCCATTTCATTTCTGGGTCAGGGGGGTGGCAATCAGAGATGCCGCCCAAGTCTCATAGCACCAGCCCCTCACTGACCCTCTGCAGGTGGTGAGTCCACAGGAGGACGGCTGCTCTCTGACTGTGAGCATAGCCTTGATCTTTCAGTGGGGGCTTTGGGCAAAGTGGGGTTAAGTGTCTTGCCCAAGGACACAACGACAGCAGTGGGAGTCGATGGAGAAGGTGCAGAGGTGGGAATTGAACCCATGACCTTCTGGCCTTAAGGCCAATGCTCTACCAACTGAGCTACTGTCGCCCCTCCATTAGTTTCTACACTGGAATTCTCAACTAATTAGAGCCCACTGTCAAAGGACTTTGGATTTTGGAGTCCACAGAGAAAAGCAGTCACCAGCCACTGATTTTAAACGATCCTATTTAAAGAGGATAGGAAAATTATTTGGGCTGCACAGGGTGAGAAAAGGTTAAAAAACCGACTTGTTAGGTGATTGAAAACCATGGAAACAGCGTGTCTGGATCAACGTTCAGTACATTAATAATTGTTTGAATCCTAAATGTCAAGACATACGAGGCCATTATGTGCACAACATGTACACACACTACATTTTGTCTCAATTTTGTTTGTTTAATTAGGCGATGAGGGTTCTTGGAAAATACATATTAACTCGATGATTAGGCTGCCAACTGTTAAACTCAATAAGGGCCATATTTCCAGTAAGATCTTTGGAGGAATCTGAGAACAAATATGCTGTAATACAAGACATTTACATTTTCTGTTTTATTACTTTAATATTGCCATGACACCTGCAACAACTGTAGATCTGTATCTATAGCTGCTTGGACTCGACTGTGAAGAAGCACCACCACCAGCAGCTGAATGATATAATATTGAAGATGTTGTTCGAGTGTACTGTCTGATTGGATCTGCTCTCCTCTGCATCGTCTTGGACCTCCTGTTTCATGGTTCTCTAACCTCATGATCTGTCTCTCAGTTAATGGAACCGTATGAAAAACTTTTATTGATCAAAATCTTTAGTGTCATAACGCATAGTTCTTAAAAAGCGCTCATAAGTGTAAAGTGCTCATATTCGGCAATGGTGAAAAACCTTGCCTATGGACACAACAATTGTTTAGCACTTTACAACTCTGGCTGCCCCACTATGGAACCTGGTGTGACAAGGTCAGGCTTGAGGAGCAGGTGAATATTAATAAATATATATAATAAAGTAGTATCTGGCCTTTCCTCATTCAAACATTCATGTACCTGTATCATATGTGACAACCTGTTGTCACAACTTTGGCCCAAATGCAAAAAAAAAAACAGATGTAAAAGATGAGCTTAACAGACTTTCCACTTAGACCTTGGAACGTTTGTACGTTAGAATAAAAGTGTAGCTATTAAATTGGCCCCTGATCAAAACACCCCTAGTCCACTGTTTGTTGACATTTAAATATTTCGGTTCTCAAGCTGAATATTTAATTGAAAAGCAGAATTATTATCACATGAAGCAGGTGCATCGACATGTTTGATATTTGTGGTGTGTGTAGGATGCAGCTGCAGGGGAGAACAGGAGCAGGGTGTGTGCCTCCACACTCACAACATCTTTGGCTCATGTCGCTCGTACAGTGTCTGTAAAGTGAATGCATCTGAACAACATTTTGATCATTAGTTGTATTGTCCCATCTCTTTACTTGTATGCAAATCATTCATCCGAGTTTGAGAACAATTTCCCACAGCTAGTAAAAACAAGAGGAGCATGCTGGATTAAGAATGTAAACTAGATAGAAAAAAATATGAACAGCCAATAGGAGGATCTTTGTTTACACCTGCGTGCTCATGCGCCCCTCGCTGAGTGGCATAAAGGCAGAGCGGCACATACTGAAGCATGGATGCGTCGAATACTTTTAAAAGACTCAGTGGGCGAATAGCACTGTATATAAGCACTTTAACGCAAGAAGATCAGAGGAGATATAAAGACAAGCTAAAAATAAGTAGATGAGACCGAACTGAACAAATCCAAAGCCCATATGAGACTCACCTCTGTTTTGGCATCGATCAGCTGGGACTGGGACTCTGGGACATTTATTCTTACTTCATAAACCCGGGGCCCTTCACGCAAGAAGGGTCCGTGGTGAAAATCCATTTCTCGCGTTTTCACCGCGGTAAAGTGGCCCGGCATTTCGCCGCCGCGGTAAAGTGGTCCACACATTTAAAGTGGGTTTCCCCTTTTTGCTGTTACTTACGGTAAAGGTGGAACAGAAAGCCGCGGGGATGAGCAATCAAAATGCAATGTTTAAAATTAATCATCATTCATGAATGAATGAATGAGTGAACAAGTGCGCAGTTAAAGTAGTTGCAAAACTTAAATTTGTTTAGGAATTTTTATCCCCTCATCCCCCCAGCTTCCCGTTCTACGTTTACCGTAGGTAACAGCATTAAAAGAGCAACCACTTTACCGCGGCCGTTTTTCGCTGTTCTTTTCCGAAAGAATTAGAAAAAAAACTTAAACTGTCCCCAGCGGGCCGTACAACCAAACACACAACAAGAATGGACCATTTGATTCAGTAAAACCTCTATACAAACGTCTAAAAATAGCTAACTAGCTTTCTATGCTGTTTTACCACCCAGTCATGTGACCGGTGCAGAAAAACTATAAACACTGACGTCTCTCCAAGATCTTCCTATATGGCGCCAACCGCTGTCTCCTCTCCCCTTGTTGCTGGTCCATTGTCTTTGCTTGTGTTTGCCTGTTTACCTGATTCTCGTGTTTCATTTGTATTTTTGAATTTTGTTGATGGGTTGCTGCCCCCTGCCCCCCGTCAATGGGTGAAGCGGAAGAAAATGGATTAACTTGTCTTTTTTACCTTGGACTTTTATTTTATCATCTTCATGAAATCATTATTATTTGCATTCCTACATTTTGGGTCCTTCCTTCATCTCACCCATGTGACAACCTGCTTTATTAAATGTGGAGCAGAATATATTGAGGCTCGGGAGTGACAAGGATTACGAATGAGAAATGGGAAAAGAGCAAGGCCAGATTGAGAACCTTTGGGAGTTAGCCTGTAAACCCCTCACAGTTTAAATGGTCAATCTTCTCTGCTATACAGACTCTTGCAGAGAGGCAGTAATATCAAGAAATTATGCAGGTATTTAAATCTTTACATTTTAATTCATAATTCATCCTAAAAAAGCTTCACCTCAGCTTCAGTTGAGTTAAACCCAGCTCACATATTTGTGATCACTGTAACAATCAAACAATAAATTACTAAATCAATAAAAAATAAAAATGAGTTGCTTCCCTCATAGACAGGGGTGCACATAAGTGGTACGCAGGTACGCATGCGCGGCATTATCAGAAATGCGTACCATCACTTGAGTTAAAGCGCATTTGCGTACTTCACTTGACCAGCCCTTTTCAAATGTGGGGCGCAGTGCAACAGCATTCTCCGTTCTGACCCCGGGAGAAACTGTGGCCGCTTTGACAGCTCTGCGAACGCGCGTGGTCATGTACCGAGCGCGGACCATAGACGCGCGCACAGAACCATAGACACGGGTCTTGCCTGTCTCCCCCGTCTCTCCCCCATGCCTCTCCCCCGTCTCTCCCCCATGCCTCTCCCACGTATCTCCCAAGTCTCCACACGAAGCGCAGCCAAAACTCACTGAATAAAGCTCAGGTATACTACATTTTCGCCTGCAGTGAAAATGCATGTTATTTGTGAACCGAAGTAAAATGTTGTGAACAAATCAAACAGAACAATCCAAAACAGTCTTGTTTTTTATTTTGCTTACATAAGAAAGAGCCCTGTGAGTTATTATTTGATTTTTTGGGCCGAGAGTGGATTTTTAAAATATTTTTTTCCACATAGTGCCACTTTTTTGCCAAACTCTTTTGACTTATTGTATTGAGAAAGATGGATTAGTCCCACATTATTATTGGTTGTTTTATTACCTTCGCTGTGTGGAAGTTGTATATTCTTTTTATTATTCTACTGAAGGATTATAATAATACACTGCATTTTTATTAACAAGTGTCAGCTCTCAAATTCTTTTCAAATTATGTTTCTATCTGCTACAGAGGCCGAGATATCAATCATTCTGTAGACGTTGACTTGCAGGAAAACTTCAGGTTTTGGAGGTGGTTCTAAAATCGGCCATAGGTTTTACAGGTCTGTTTTATCAGCTGCGTCAGGCCTTAATGGACTATTTGACTTGGATTGAGTGGATTATCTGAGCTGATCTAAACCTTAGCATTAAAAAGAGGCAAGTATAAAATCTTGATTAAGAACCGCGCGACAAATGAGTACCAAACACCATGTCCTGGTACTCATCTGAGTACCTCACTGAACAAGTTATGTGCACCCCTGCTCATAGAGCATAAAAGCAGGTCACATTTTCTTCATGAGTGCCAAAATGCCAGTGCAAAAACAACATTAAAGAAAGTAAAGTAAGAAAATAAACAGTGGCCGTGGAAACTTGCATTATCAGCGATTATTGCTGTAGTTTTGATAGTTGCTTCTCCACAATATGCTGGGTGTGGCGATGATTCCCAACACAATACGAGCTGAATACTTGTGTCTGTATTAAGAATTATGACTGAATTATGCAGCCTTCCCTTGATTCTTGTATCTCTCATTAAAACAGTGTGGTGTGCAACAATCAGTGAATTGCTCTTTTCTGTTATGTCTGAGGAAATCTCAGCAGGGGGTCAGAGCACAAAAAACTTAGTCAAAAAATGCGGAAAGAAAAATATGACTTATGGGCTTGTGTAACTGCACTCAAATCCTAATCTTGTAAATGCCGTGACGGTGGCATGTGAAGTGCTAATGCATGATAATGATAAGTCTTTTTGCACTCTAATTTCTCTCTCCTCTTCCACAGGATGAGATGTCCAAACCAGAAGGGAAGGGCAAAAGGCTAAAAAACAAGAAGATCAAGTGAAGTTAATGAGACAGAGGCTTTTAATCAACACTGCTGGCTTGAAACATTTTGCACTGGGAATCCAGCGATCTCACTGGTCAACGTCTATAGTCTGCCTTAATAATGTTTTTTTTTCATTTCAATTACAACAAAACAAATTTCAGAAAGTCGGGACAATGTTAAAGCGAATGTGCTCTTTGTACCCTTTGTGTTGGAGGACACTGCTCCTTGAAAGTGCTTTGTTTTGTTTTAGCTCTAGTAATTCTGATATTAAATATATGCAGTCCAGTAAGTGTGTTTTAGAAGTGGGTTTGCAATCAACAATTTCCTTCTGGTCAACACTCCACTCCAGCTTTTAAGTATTATTATTCCTATACTTACAATTTATTCTATTTCCCCCCTCTCTAAAATCTGCATGTGAATGAACCAAATTCGATTCAACTCAAACGTATGCTTTGTTGTTTCTCAAATATGCCCAGGCCAAATGAAGTCTACAGAGTTTCGGTGCCACTGACACTCTCACGCACAAATGTCCACATCTAATACACTGTTAAATATCCTTACCATCAAAAGTTGTCTCCGGATCCTGTGAGGTTTCGGCCCTCACCTTTTTCCCCTCTTTAGTGTCACTCGTAGTGTGGGAAGCCAAGGCGTGCATATTAACCACCCCAGGGCCAGCTCTGGGGAGCAGAAGATGGCTCTCTAAAAATATCTTGGACTCATCTGTGCTTTTGGTACTTGGGGTTTTCCATGCCACAACCCAACTGTTCAAGCCCTTTTATCAACGGCCAGGGCCTGGATGGGGTTATAGAGACTAATAACACATTTTAAAACTTCTCCATTACTGCGGTCACAGCTGCCTGATTATTCAAACCATCACGAACAATTACAGTTAATTCACTTAGCTGACAGGCTGTCATCGTGTGATACACACCATCAAGGCATTAATTACATTTTTACAGTGCATTTATGGAGAAGAATTTTCTTCCTCAAGTTCAAGAGAATAATCAGGCTCACACATTTTCAGACTCCAACTCAATGAGCTGGTAATTGTGACAACACTCACAGGGTTTTATCATTATGTGCTAAAGAATGATATAACTTTTCATCAGACCATCTTGAAATAAAATGTAGGGTTTTTACATAATTGTCTGTTGGTTATTATGGTATGGCAGTGTTATCCTGTTGAATACGAACATTTGTCCACTGCATTTGATCCATCTCTTCAATGCTCTTGGGGTCTCTGCAGCACTACACGTGTGATGTGTGGCTTGGTCAGGACACCTTCAGAGGAGGAATTTACATGTGGTGCATCTTTTTTGATGGTGTGGGAAACCGTAGCACCTGGAGAAAATCCACCACATGGAAAATTTACACAGAAAAACACAGGCTGCACAGGTGTGAACTTGCCAGCATCTTATGATGTGGCATGGGGGCCCAAACTACACTCAGAAATGACCCAGATGTCTTTAATAATAATAATAACTATAGAATTCATTCGAAAGGGCGCATATACCATGCCAACATTTCACTGGGATCTTTTTTCCATCACATCCCATCTACACCACCTTTCAGCTCAATCCATCGAATAGTTTTTGCGCAATACTGCTTATAGACAAACACGCGCCCTGCACCTCACTGACCTGTAAATCAATGACATTCTCTGTAGATGCACTGTGTGGGTGTGAGCGTGGGTGTGACTGGGCCTTTTGGTGCTGATCCGCGGTTCTGCTTGCTCACCTCCACGCGCCGTGAGTCTGGACCACTTCACTTTCTGATTGCAGACTTCTGCCTTTGATCAGACGCGGCTGCTGCGGACAAAGAAACCTAAAGTCAATCAAGATGAAGCCAATGGGGACAGAGAGCGGATGTTCTGACGCCTACACAATAAAAGCTTCTGTTCCCCGTGCGTAAAGTAGGCGTTTCCAAAACATGGACTCTCATGATACAAGTATGTAATAGTGTGTATGTATGTTAAATATTACTACTATACAGTGGTAGTTGAAGGGACAAGCACTAATATGGCATTGTCCAATAAGCTTTACGAAAGTGAACATATGGGCCAAGGCATCGTGATCTTGAAATATATTTCAGAGGGCAGAGAGGCAGACACAGACATACGGCGTGCGTCAGTGCAAGGTTTAATTTGAAAACAAACCAGGATGCACTTCGCTGCCTGAGCCTTGTGCCGTGACAATAGCTGCTGCGCGCTCCACACTCGCATCCAGAGTCTGCTCTCTGCACATCCTCTGAGCGTCACAGACAGGGGAGCGCGCACATGCTGGATCTACTGTCACTGTTACGCACAAAGTTGTATCGAAACTTGAGTCGCGGCAGCTCTAACTCGCTGTCTCAAGGCAAACATGGGATTTTGGGGCAACTCGTGTGGTTTTACGCACAGCTCTCCATTCATGATTTACCCGTTAGTAAAGTGGAGGAGAACGTTTGGGCGCGTAATTGGACTTGGTCAGTGCGTGTGAGCATGAAATGAAAACTACAATGGTTTTAACAGTAAATTAACTATGGGAGCGCACGTTTTGGAGTCCAACTCCAGCGGAAACTTGACCCCTGCGGCGTCCGAGCCAGGGACTATCTTCCCGGGTTATCTGGTGGTGATCCTGGCCGTGCTCATGGTGACTCTGGTGGTTGTGGTGGTGGCGGGGAACGCGCTGGTCATCATGGCTTTTATTGTGGATAAAACCCTGAGAACTCAAAGCAACTACTTCTTTCTGAACCTTGCCATATCAGATTTTCTCGTGGGTGAGTTGTCTGCCTTTTACTCTTCGTTGTGACAATTTTTTTCTGGTTTGGCACGTCTGACTCTTTTGTTCATTTTAATGTGAATGACAAATTACACCGTAAAACCCTCACTGTGATATCCAATATGTTAAATGAGAGTGGACTTTCCTTAATTTGCTAATTTTCAAGTTTTTGTGACCCTCAATGTCCTTCATTCATTTATTTATTTATACTGTAAATTTCACTTGGAACAAAAATGGTGAATGGTTTCCAACCCACTTTGATCAATTCTAATAAAAGAAACAAAAGAATGCTTTAATTTGTGCAATTGTAGTTTAACTATCTGCCACACAGACATTTCTTTGTTTGAAATGTACTGCAGTGGAACATTTTGGTCACTTGGTTGAAGTGAGTGTTTCGCACTTGGAACAGTGACTTGTGCATGGGGTGAATACTACTGCAGTCTATATATGCATGTTTTTGTGTGTGCCCCATGTCCAGGTGCCTTCTGCATCCCAGTTTACATCCCATACAACCTGACCGGCCGCTGGATGCTGGGCAAAGGGCTCTGCAAGGTGTGGCTGGTAATGGACTACCTGCTCTGCACCGCCTCAGTCTTCAACATTGTGCTCATTAGTTACGATCGTTTCCTGTCAGTCACCAGAGCAGTAAGTGGAGACAAACACATCTTCATCACACAACAGGAATAAGCCCAATAATGCCAGAACACTAAGAATTACACTTTCTGAAAAAACAAAAATCCCACGAGGTATTTTAACATATTCGATGATGGATTACATGTGTTGTTTTGCTGATGTTTCAAAAATCATACATGTATATTGATCTGCCAATATATGGTCCGGTCTTTCGCTGAGATCTTCTTATTCATATTCAAACCCCGGCAACAGCAGAATTAAATTGCTTCTTTGCACAATTATCAAAGTAAAAATAGTATTAGGGTAGTAATGAGTATATCAGTATATTTAATCCCTTTAGACATAATAGCCTACATTTGTGGTTTGTCCTTTAGACAATTGTGTAGCGTCCTTGTTAAAGACTGTGCCGTTCTATAACACACAGGAAGGCAGATTCTGAGATATATTGTGTATATGAAAAGGGAAGCCCCCTGAATCAACAATGCGCTCTCAAGTGAGGGGCCGGAATAAATTAATAGCCCCATGGAGTGGCTCTTTATGCTGCATTTGATTTGATGCCCAAGTGGATTTGTAAAGTTGCTTATTAACCACAGGGACAATTAGCAGCATTATTGTCTTGCAGGCAGATCCCCAGCTGGTGCAACTGGAGTGATGATTTTAGACAGCGACTGGGGAAAAACCTCACAACAAAAGTGGTAAATAGAAGAGGCAGTTTAATGATAGACTTTAGACTGGCAGAGGTAAAGTGCAAATTGGTGGTGAGGAGGAGTGAATCTTAGAAACCAGATGTCTCTTTCACACTTTTGTGTTGCACTGGTGAATGTGCTCAGAGCCTGACATTCTCCTCTCTTTAGCTCCAGTGACACACAGCATCATGAGTGGGTTTTATTTATCCAGGCTGTGGCGGCTTGTTGCGGCACAATACACTGTGAGCAGAGGCAGTGCGTTTGTCAGTGTTTACAGGAGCCTTTAGCGGAAAAGGATAATGAGCGTATTAAATATTCACTGATGACTCTTGTGCCCTCTGTCTGACAGGTCAAATACCGAGCACAGAGGAACATGACCCAACAAGCAGTGCTCAAGATGGTGGCCGTTTGGGTGCTGGCCTTCCTTCTGTATGGCCCTGCCATCATCTTCTGGGAGACTGTGGTGGGGCAGAGTGTGGTTCCGTCTCACGAGTGCTACGCTGAGTTTTACTTCACCTGGTATTTCCTCCTCAGCGCATCCACCTTTGAGTTCTTCGCTCCTTTTATATCTGTGGCGTTCTTCAACCTCAGCATCTACTTGAACATCCACCGCAGGAACAAGAACAACAGTGCCTGCTCCGAGGAGGAGCCAAAGCCAGAGCCCAGGGTCCGGAAGCACAAAGAAGCTGTGGCGTGGTCCGTGTTTTTTGTAAAAACTCGTAAAGTTTCCTCCAGTGAGCCCACAGCCATCTCAGCAGCCATTGGGCATGATGACGTTCTATCGCCCTCCTCCAGTGGCGAGCCCTCCACCTCTCAGATATTCTTACAAAGTGAGAGGTTTTCCCCTAAAAGAAAAAACTCCAGGTTGTTCCAACCTACTGCATCATGCACCGCTCTTGGACGAAGGGCGCCAGGGTCTCGACTTTCTCGAGACATAAAGATTGCTAAATCGCTTGCGATAATTGTGTGCATATTTGGGATTTGCTGGGCCCCATACACTCTCCTAATGATCATCCGTGCTGCGTGCAGTGGGGAATGTGTCGAGGACTATTGGTATGAAATGACGTTTTGGCTGCTCTGGCTGAACTCAGCCATTAACCCCTTCCTGTACCCTCTGTGCCACAGCAGCTTTCGAAGGGCTTTCTCCAAAATCCTGTGCCCCAAGAGACAATCAGTTCAGCCTCAAATCGAGATACAATCCTGTTAGAGGAAATCTGTTGCACTTCCATTCTTTAAGAATGCAGTATTGTATGTTATCTGGTCAAAACACTGTATAAAAAAACACTGTTCTTCCATTGAAAAAAAAGACATAATTTCCGATGAATGGGAAATTATTGCATCAAAGCATTGTGTGATAGCAATAAAAAGAAAAGAGAGAGAATAAACTGCACTTTTAGTATAAGTTAATACTTCACAATGATAAGACAGACTTGTTTGTCACATTTAAGAGCAAATATAATTTGTCTTAATCCGGTTAGATACCTCTGCTCATCAGATGTGTGCTATTGTTTTCTTGTGTTCAAACCAATGTATTTGATCTTAGTACTACCACATTTGTCAGAAGTGTTCCTTGATCTTGCGAAGAGAAGATTTTGACCATCTATGTGAAAGTTCTGATTCTGTTCTGGTTTACAGTCTAGTGGGCACGATTGTAGCTCTCGATGGCCTCTGATAAAGTGGTCCATGATCCATGAGGTGGTACTCTCTTTCCGTGGTCTGAGATTGCTGACTTGAGCTGTTCCTGTTGGGTGTGCCGCTGTTTTCCTTTTCCTTTTGCGTTTGGTTTTGTGTCTGTCTATTGATAGCTCTCTGCTTCATCCAGTTGCATGAGAAAAACAGTTCAGATCTTTTACTTTGTTTTTGGAGTTCAATGTTCTTCTGTAGTTCTCGGCCTAACTAAGGTGTTGATCTTTTGTTTTTCATAGGGCTTAAAACTCGGCAATTCCCCCCAAAAAAGATATTTTATATAACAGCTTGTTTCACAATTCAAATTAATTTCACTCATATTCATCAGCATTAAAACAAAATTATTGCTGACTATATTATGAAGTATACAAAATGTCCTGTGTATCATATTTATTGTAAGTAAATCAACAATAGTTAAATAGTTAAGAACATATTTTTAGGGATTTTAATTAAGACCAATTATCTGTACAAAATATCATGGGTGTCATCAAATGAATAAAAGCTCCACTCTTTGATGTTTTATATATTTAAAAAAATAACACACTAGTGAACATCAAAAAGTAAATAAATAATGTTTTATCACCCAATTTATGGGTGATAAAACAGATTCAGAGCTTTAAAATGAGGAATGACACGAACATATGAGCATATTGAGGGTTGCCAGAATGATGATTGCCAATTTAGCTACTAACCAATCTGTGAGCTTTATCTATAAATAATGGCAGCGATAAAGTGTGACCAAAAAATTATGATTATTATTTTTGTCTTTTTTTTGGTTTGGTTTCCTTTTTTGTTCGTCCCTATTCTGCTTTGCTTGCAGTTGTGCTTTTATGGTTGGATTTTGGTCTACAATTTACTAAAGCCTTTGTAATATTATCCCCGTTTATATGAATACTGCCTAGTACTGTAATTAATGTCCAAGCCAAGATAAATATTGTGCCGTCTGCCTCCTCCTTTTGTGTGATTATGTCGTATTAACTCACACTTCTGACGACCGTGGCAGTAACAGCCAAAAATCTTACGGGATGATCACATAAGCAAACAATAGAGTCATGGATGTTGATTAACGCCTTTATGCTAGACGTCACATTTTTTAAGATCTGCCTCCTTATTCCTGTGCACATTTGGCAGAAGCAGAAGACAATCTTTTGTTAGAGCCAGTGACGCACCCAAGGCTTTATATGTGCTTAAGCAGACAGCATAGTGTATAGGAGGAGAATTGGCATATTTTAGGCTATAGTAGTAGTAAGCACTGCTAGTTTAAAAAAAAAAAAAAAGTGGTCACAAGTGTGAAGGAAAAAGCTACAGACGTAGTTGACAATAATATTTTGGTGGGTTTTCTTTTTTGCAGCTGCTTTGATGAAACGATAAGCTTTTATCTGTAATGACGACCAAATGGACGTGAAGGACATCAGCTGCCTTTTTTTCCTTCCTTCCTTCTCGACAAGATCGCACAGCTCATTCTTACAAGGCATAAGATTGCTTTCAAGATTCATGTTTTTTGCAATATAGAGATTAACATCAGAAACTATGAAACACCTAAGTAAAAGAATAAGCTGTATTTATAGACTGACTATTGCGTATATACAACCATAGTGATGTATCATTTGTGAAAAGGGCCCGTACAGGGACAGAATGGATATCTGCACTTCTTTAAATATATTGTTGATGTTTCAAAGTGTCTAGCACTATAAAATACAAAAGGTTTTTGTACAGTATTATCTATGCGAAGATAGATTGTTGTGTTCCAAAAGCACATTATTTATTCAAAGAAGTTTTACAACAGAAACAACTAAGCTATTTGACTTGACTTTGTATATCTCTTGGCTCTGAATGTTTGTCAGTGTAAGTAGCCAAAGAAATAATAAAGATGGAACTGCCTAATGTTATGAAAGCTTGAGACTCGAGTGTGTTCACTTTTCAATCGGCGTCACATTTTTAGCATAGTGCACATCACATATAGTGGTTGCCAACCCTTTGTCCTTGGCGTGCCCTGCATCTGAGGCAGAGCAGCTCTCCCAGCACAAAAGAATCACAGGAACAAAATGCTGAAATGTGTTCAGACAATTACATCTCAGACCTAATTTGACCTGACCTCCTTAGTTTAACGCGTAGTAATTTATATGAATATCAGGCGATTTTGTATTATTTCTTTACCTACAGTATAAGACAATTTTGCCGTATTTATATGGTGGGCTTATGAATATGTCAATTTGAATAAATGCTTCTAAATAAGTGTATTTAAATCATTGTGCAGTTGTAAACCTCAGTCGCAAAAACTATTTCCCCAGGGGGCTTCGAGACTGCATGTGGATGATACCGTTTCTATTCAAAAAGATATAGACGTGTAGATTTGTAGTTACAAATGAAGAGTTGTAGAGAAAAGCAAGCTGACCAGAAACTGACTGTGTGATTTTGTTTTTCCAAGTAAACAAATAATTTTACACTGATTTGTTGTCGCAGCTAATTTTCATTGTGCACTAATTGCCTAATTGTTTCCTTGTATTGGGGTTGTTTTATTTTCCTGTAAAAGGGCAACTTCCTAAACTTTGTTGTAGTTGCCTGGCAACTCCTATGGCAGCATCAAGGGCAGGAAAACACTAAAGAGATTTACACTGACACAGTTGATGAATGATGAGGGGTTTAAATCTGACTAGTTTGTCTCTGCCAATGACACTCTTCAGTCTCTTGAAGAAACAACATTTGGGCAGTTCATTTATGTGATTTGAAACTGATACAAATAAAGAATGTATATGAGACTTATTCATTCTTCATTTATTGTTTATTAAGACAAATAACACTGCTTACTTTGATAAATACACCAAAACACAAAATACGGTATAAAAGTAATGATGTAAGCAAAATATAGCCGCAGGCGGCGATGAACGGCCCTCGTCTGTGCCAAACCGTGCCATGCAACTGTAGACCACCCCCTGCTGGATGTGAGTCACTATCTCTCCTTTTCTTCCTTAAACCTACTCCCAACAGTGCTATCATGCCACTTTACACTTATTATGGCAACTCAATCGCTAATCAAGTAATTTCAAAACCTGTACACAATCTCAATAAACAAAAAAAACAGAATAACGTGCAGTTTTGAAAAGGAGTTGGACGAAGCAAACACTTAAAAGTCCTCTGTCATCCATTCAACACAGAGATAAGACGATTTGGAATCAAAAAAACGTCTAAAAGCACGTTATAAAAGGAAAACATTCGAACAGTAACACAATACAACATCATATGGTGTAAGACAACTCAAACACACTCAAACAAAACGGAACCCAAAACTCTTTTTGACCCGACTCTTCCATCCCACTACTCGCGCTGTGCTGAATTACCTTTATCTTTCTGCCACATACAGTCGTTCTTCAATTATCCTAGTTTTCTTTCGTAAACAGTTTTGAATAATATTCATCAATTAGCATTTTAGATCATCTCTTAATCCGGTCCAAATACACACATAACTTTTAAAGCAGTTTTTCATTTTTGAAAATACATGTCTATTTTCCATTCACACAATAATTATGTGATTTATTTAATTAACCATAAATTGTGTCTTTCTGTCAACATGATGACATGCCGTGTTTTCCATTGACTGTTTTGATTGTGAAGCCAAAACAAAGCTTAAAAATAATCTTAACCCTGTGGATGAAAATCCCATTGCTTCATGTTTAACTGTTATTTTTTCATGAGTTGGTTTATTTCCTATATTTACACATAATGGGGAGTTTTTGCAATTGCTACGGCAACACAGTACTAAATAAGGCAAGTGTTGAAGGTACTTAATTGGGAATAATAATTGGGATACCAAAAGAGAGTGTTGTACAAAATGTCAGACATTTTCAGATATGTTGCCCCGCTTTTTTGCTACATGTGCAATACCATATATGCTTTGTGGGCTGTGGTCACCAATACACATCAAGAGCAGAACCTAGTCTTAGTTTAGCTTCCATAAACTCAAAACCTGTACCATAAGTAATTCAATTTGAAAAGTCAATCAGGGGAAGAAGCTCTCATATTCCTTTCTTCCCATATCATTACAATGGTGTGGTCTTCAAGCCAGAGGATTGCTATCATTCTATTGTTTAAGTCCTTCTCACCTTCTCATCGGGACTCACACGCTTCCCCAACTCCCACTGCAGATTTAGCTTGTCAACTATACTGCATCCAGCTTCTATGGGTGATACCCCCACTAGGCAGTGTTACGGGTATTATGCAAGAGGCAAAGAATACATTGTTTGTGCTATAGTACATTCCATTTACTCTCGTCAGATGTCCCCAACATTTTTCACTCAGAGAGCTACTCTTTTAAGCAGCCTTGGGAAAAATAAAATTATATGTTGGTATGAACAAATCTGATGTTTGGTACAGTCAGTATTTATCATCACATATGTGTTACTAGCGCACAAAGTAAGTGCATTTATAATAACAAATAATAAAAACACTTTTACTATATAATGTTATATAACAATAGTAATGTTTTTTTCATGTGTTTTGAGTGTGTTTGTTAATTTGTGACAT